TTAGGTAACCCTCTCTCAGGGCCAGTGTGCTCCACAAAGTTTCCCTTGGGAGAAGCCAGGATGACCTGTGTTCACCTCTTTTTATTTCAGGTTTTAATCTTCCTTATGCTTCTGGGTTTTGTTGTTGTTGTTAGTTCTGACTAACAAGTCAGTTCTGACTCAGCAACCTCATGCTTGGCAATCCAGTGCTTATCCTACAGCACTACACTGGGACTGGGCTTAAGTGCCATAGTTTTTCTTCAAACCATAAATCAAAACATTTTCTTTAGACTTTTTCTGAGAATAGTAATTTTTACTTTAGAAGTATTCATTTTAATATTTTTTTTTTCCTTACTTGAATTATTTGCATGTTAAACATTTTCATTTTAACACTTGTCTTTGTAAATAGAATTTTAGGCGCCACAGGTTACAGCTTGCTGGGAAACACCACAAGCTTTGTAACACACACACACACCTCACACTTGTGCACACGAATCAGTGTAGCCGCTGACTATTTTGTCTACGAGTAAGGCTCCGCAATCTGTCTCTTATGACAGAGACTATTTCTTAAGTTTTTCTTGTTTCTTAACAATGAAATCAGCAGTTCGAAACTACCAGCTGTTCCACAGGAGAAAGATGAGGCATTCTGCTTCGGTAAGATTTACAGCCTCGGAAACCCTGTACAGGGTCGCTATGAGTCAGAACTGACTCCATGGCACATAACAACAACAACAACAACAACAACAACAACAACAATGGAATGCTCTTAAAAGTGAGGTTGGCTTCAGTTTTATCTTCTGGCCAGTCTTGGAATTGGATATAGAAGCAAAAAGGGAATCAAATGGAATTTATGAAACGTCTTAACTGTTTGCCTTATGCAACTTTGCTATGAACGAAGGACATATTTATGAAGTAACAAACAGTCGGCAGTAGTGCTGTCGCTCATCTTGTTTTCATGTCAACGTAATATGATTTTTATACGATTCTCATATTAGGACTATTTGCTCTAGGTTGAAATGTGATGTGAGGATTATGTTGGACTTTCTCCATGGGCATTTATTTATAAAAAGATAAAAAAGAACATTACGTAGTAGCTTCACCCATAAGGCAAAGCTGTAAGATAGCAGAGGGTCACTGAAATTAAACAAAGATGTACAAATTTCAGTTACAATGTAAATGGATCTCTATTAATATTTATATTGCAGGTCAGCTACTCCGGCTAAAAATGTTTCGAGAGGATCATGGATCATGGATGACAATGTTCTTCAGCACAATTCTCTTTCTCTTCATATTTTCTCATATATACAACACGATTCTTCTAATGGATGGGAACATGGGGTAGGTTATCTTTCCCCTTTCTATTGGGGTGAGTGTTATGTTTGAAACTCATAAGAATTCAAGGAAAACTTTGTAATTTGTCATGGTCTAAATCTCCTTTAGCCCTGGTGTGGCGCTATAGGATAAGCAGTGGACTGCAAGGTTGGTTTGAGGTGCAAGGTCGGCAGTTCAAAGTCACCAGCCTATATAGGGTCGCTGTGAATCGTAATCAATTCGATAGCACTAAACAACAACAAACAACAAATCTCCTTCCTAAAATAGACATGTTGTTGTTAAGTACCATCCAGCTGGTTCCAACTCATAGTGACCCTGTATTGGGTTTCTGAAGCTTTACATCTTTTGGGGAACAGAAATCCTCATCTTTCTCCCACAAAGTGGCTAGTGGGCTCGAACTGCTGACCCTGTGGTTTGAAGTCCAGTGTTTATCATATGAAATCCAGTGTTTATCATACTTCCTTAAAGAGGCATAATCGATGGGTTGTTGTCAATTAAGACATTTAGAGTCTTTTTTTATTGTTTTTAATCCTCAGGAAGCTTATAGCATATTATATTATTTATATTGTGTTTATGATTCTTTGGGACTTCTCTGTGAGGACAGATGCTAATTTAATTATAGTAGCAAAGAGCATGAGGCTCAGGAACTCTTATTGACTAGCATAATTCACATCATTGGAAAAGCAAACCTAAGATAAAGGGTTTTAGTTTTCAATTCCATGGCTGTACAGTGCTTGGCTAAATAAGGTATTTGATACTGATGATGCAATTTCTTTTTCTTTCTCTCTTGACATTCCCAACAGAGATACCTTTGTTATAAATGGGTCATTTGAAAAGGGGGCCACCCTGTATTAAATCCTGGATTGTGATCTATACTTATCAAATCACTAATCAAATCACCATGGCATGAAGATGTGCTAACAAGTAGATTGTACATAAAAAAAAAAATTCTCTCCAGATCTTTCATTTTATAATGAAACACAATAATTGGTCTTTCAGTATAATTTCCTCTTAGTTGGCTCTCAGTAAGTTCTAAGGACAGGGTATAAAGGGATTGGTTTGCCCTACAGCATTAAAAACTAGATTAGTGACAATAATAAACAACTTCAGATATTTGGTATGCTCTGAAGCAGTTAATAAGAACGTTTTTAGTCTGTGCTTCCCATAGTCTAATCAAGATTGTTGTTTACTGCTATAATGTGCAATTGTTGCCTATAGATTTTGATTATCACTGTTGAGTGCTAGGAGAGATAAGTCAATTAAACTTTTATGGCTTTTCTCTACCTTTAAAGGAGATGAATAGTAAAGGGAAAATAGATATTTCACAAGACTTATATTTAGTCTATATTATCAAGTGGTAAACTTGTAAGAATTTGATGTTAGAGCAAATGTCCAAGCGTTAGAGAGTTATTAAAATGCTTTGTAATTATTTCTTGAGCTAGTGCGATGCTGCCAGTACTGGGTCTATTTTTAAATGATATCATTGCAGATTCTAACCTGTGCCTAGTTAGGATAGATGTCAGTCTTAGACCCTGGCCTGAAGTTATGGAATTGGGGAGTAAACTGGGGTGTTAGCAAACATAACTCTATGTCCTTCTGGGAGGTATTGTACACTTTGAATTCTGGGACCAGAAGGAGAAGGAGCTTATCTAAAAGTTACATATTTAGGCTGTTTTTGATAAGCAGTTCAGTGCTTATCCTACAGTGCCCCACTAGGAGTCCGCTATGACCTCACACAGTAAGTATTTTTATTGTCTGCAATTTTCAAACCAAAAAACCTGTAAACAGAGGTTAAGTCACTTGTCTAAGGTTACATTATAATTACATGTCCATGTTAAACAATAATAGAACAAGGCTGAGATAGTCAGCACTGGATTCTGATAATATAGTCTGCCGAAAGTCTAGTAAAGAACTGTTAAGTGGTCTATACTTACTGTTATTCATTCACAATATGCCTCGTAGCTTTTATCTTCAAGCTGATTTTTGGATATTGAAAGAAGAAGAAAATAAGAGAATAATTAGTCTAGAATTTATATGCATAAATTGAAAGTGGTTCTCTTTTATTCTCAAAATAAATACATTATTACACATTATTTTGCAACCCTTGAATTCCTTACTGATATGTGCCTTATTTTAGTTGGAAAGAAACTTCTGTTGAGAGAAGTCATAATAGTACCACTTTTTTCTGAATCCAAAACAAAGGACAACTAGTTTAGATCTACAGATTAAAAGAAAAAAAAAATCACCATTTACTGAAGACATACTGCCAACTTTTATACTGCTCACTCTTTGAACTAGTACAACACATGTCAGAGTAGAAATGTAATCTTGAAGGACAGTTATTTCTTGGAATAAATGTATAAAACTGCTTTTGAAGCCCTCTAGTATATGCCAGGAGTCCTGGGGTGGTGATGTGGGTTGATGCGTTGGACTGCAATCGGTTTGAACTGCAAGGTTGGCAGTTTCAAACTCACCAACTACTCTTTGGAAACCCTGTTAGGGTTGCTGTGGGTCAGAACTGACTCGATGGCATTTAACAACAACAGCAAGTATATGCCATGTTATCTGAGGCATTGCTTCTTCCTTTGTGGGTTAGTGAATGATGGAGTCAGAGGATGCAGAAAGGACATGGCACTTAGACATCACAGATTGCCTGTTTTTACACTAGAGGGATTCTGTTGTTGTTAAGTGCTGTCAGGTTGGTTCGGAATCATAGTGACCCTGTATGGGGTTTACAAGGAGCAGCTGGCGAATTTGAACCCCTGACCTTATGATTCAAACCTACCATGTGGTCCAGTGCTTATCCTATAGTGCCACACCAGGACTCTGGATGCTGGTAATAGACAGGAATGCAAGATCTGAAAAGGAATCTCATTTACATAGAAAATTCGAGTGTGTAGTTTATTGGTTTGTAGACTTCTCTAGAGTAATTGTCCTAGAACCATTCTCAAAACAATTTCCAGGATGGTCTGTGATGATTAGACCTGTGTTCATGCATTTTAGGGAATCCTTCCATAGCTTTACACTTTCAAACAGGAAGCCTTCAGGCCTAGGATGAGTGAGTTTAAGTTCCAGAGAGCAAAACAGGTTTTTCTAGACTGATTTTGTATGTGTTAGACAATTTTAGGATTGGGTATAAGTTTAGGCTAAGCTGGAATCCCTTGAATCTACTAACTGTATCCCTAGAGTTATCTTGACCGAAAACTCAAGATTTGGGCCAGAATTGGCTTGAGCATCAAGCTGCCTGTCTCCTATTTGTCTCGTTACAGTGGATTCCAAGAGGTATGCAGTGATTTTTATGACTTAGTTATCTCTGGGGGTCAGATGGTGGGTTGTCGCCTTCAACTTTTGGTTAGCAGCCAAATGCTTAACTATTGCAACACCAGGGCTCCTTTATGTAAATTTAGTGACATTGATTGTATTCATCACATTTTTGTTCTTAAAGATTTTAAAATGAAACTAAATTCATCTTTACATGAATGTTCCAGGTTATTTATGGGTGAGGGTTCTCCAGTTGAGAAGATACAAATCCTGCACAGTTTTGCATCTAGCAGTTTTATGTGTAACTTCTTTATCACAAGGTACAAGACTAGATACGTTGAAGCCTCTCCTAATGCAGAATCCCTAGAAAGGATGCAAAATATGACACAGCATGATAAACCTGTCTTAAATGCACAGCTGAGATAAAACCCAAAGCTAGGGAAAATCTCAGAGGCCAAGGATCTGAAAACTAGCTGATACTCAGAGACAAAGACTTAGAGATATTAGTTTTAATTCCTATATAAGGTTCATGTTAAGTAACAAGTTGAGAAAAAAGTTCCCATTCGTACAGTCCTGCAAAATACTACAGTGAAAAGGCAGATTGGAAAACATAACTATTAGTAGAGGCAGACATCAGGTTACCTTGTCTTGGGGCTAGAAAAAAATCTCTCAGGACACTCATAGCTACAGGCGTATCTTCACAAGGTAGTGTGGTTTTAATGTGCATTTTGCTTTGGGCTTTAGAGCCCCCCAAACATCTCTGGCCAGGTAAACATTTGCATTTGCATAACTGTAGACTATGTGTTGTTCTTTTGATATAAGTCCCACTGGTGATGATATTTGTCAGCAGGCATAATGAACAGTAGGTTTAGAAATTCAAGAAGCTGAGAAAATAGAACTATAGAATAGAGACTTAAAAACAAGCAGGAATGAAAAGAACCAAATGGAACTTTTAATAAATAAGAGAATACATAAATAAAATTTAACTAAGATCACTGAAACACACAACTTGAATGAATCTCAAAAACATGCTGAGTAAAAGAAGACAGACATAAAGGAGTATATACTATATGAGTTTCTTTATATGACATTTCCAAAAATGCAAAACTGAGCTGGAACATAGGGTGAGAAGGGTGGGACCAATGACAAAGGGTAATAAGGAAAACAACTGAATAATGGGAAAGCTCTATATTTTCTTGAAGTTTTAATTAAAATGATAACTACTGACCTAAATGCATCCTGATGTGGCATTCTGGGTTAATGTGCTGGACTGCAGTATCAGTTTTAACTGCAAGGTCGATGGTTCAAGCTCACCAGCTGCTCCTCAGAAATCCTGTGCAGGGTCATTATGGGTCAGAACTGACTCTATGGCACTTAACAACAACATGTATATATGTGTATATATATGCATGCTGTTGTTGTGAGGTGCCATCGAGTTGGTACCAGCCCAAGCATACACACACATATATTTGTCAAAACATACCCAACTGTGCATTTAAAATAAGTACATATGAGATACGTAAATAATATTCGAGCAAAGCTGATTTTCAAACATTGCATAATATCCCATTGTATCCACATTTGTCATAATGTGGTGGCTTTTGTGTTGCTGTGCCAGAATTTCAAATACCAGTAGGGTCACTCATGGTGGGCAGGTTACATGGAGCTTCCAGACTAACACAGTCTAAGATGGTCCACTTCTAAAAAATTAAACACTGAAAAATCTTAAGAATAGTAGTGGAGCA